GAGAAACCTTACCTCTGGGTGAGCCTTGATGATGGCCAGACGGCGGGTGCGGTGAGGCTCCTCGGTGTAGGTCCAGAAGAAGTCGCGCTCCTTGGAGGCCGGGGCGGGTTGCGCCTCAGTGGTGAGCTTGCCGGCCGCGGCGCCGTTGGCGGCGGCAGCGGTCTTGCGCTTGGACGGCTTCGTCACTGTCTCAGCGGCGGACGAGGCCATTGTTGCGGTGGTTCTTTTGCAGGAAAGGGTTGCTTTGCTTGCTTTGCTTGTGGCGTGACAAGGCAAAAAGGCGTCTCTTCCCAAGAAAGTTGGCCCCCCGATATCTGGGTTGTTGTCGGTGGTGGACGGCAGTAAATTATTGGTGGTGGAAAATCTGTCCTAAACCGGGGAATAGGGGACGACGGGACAGAGAAAGTGGAGGACGAGGGGCGAAGGGGGAAAGTGGGAAGAGGGAAACGAGAATCCGATCACCGTGGTGTGGTCGGGGCGGGTTGGTCCTCAGACGGTCATTGATATATATACGTAAAGAAGGGAACAGTGCTTCTCAAACGGGAAAAAGACAAGACGAAAAGAGAGAGAGTCCCTTGATGAACCACGCGTAGTTAAATTTTGACGTCCCCCCTCTGGCGCAAATATCGAGCGGTGGTGGGAGAAGAATCATGCCTCGACAATGGCAAATCTCCTGATGCGGGCTGTAGGGGATCCGGAGCGGTGTACAATGCACTTGGGGACTTTGCCTTCTGGACCAGTGTGCTGTGGCGCAGCGGGTATCAGTGGGGGAAGGGGACATCCCTGCCCCCGCTGTGGCCAATCGTTCGGGGCATGTGTTTTGCCTTTCTGCTCTGCTTCGAAGTGGTGGTCGCACCAACGAATTTTCGTGAGGAGCTCTTTTGGGGGAGAGAGACAGGGGATGCTGTGGCGTGGCAGAGAGAAAAAAAGACATTGTTATTTTGTTTCTGGCGGTGTTGAAGGCTGGAGAAGGACGATCTTGGCCTTGCCCCTCTTGTTGTTTCCCCTGAACCACCAACACCAACACCACCACACCCACCCCAAAGAAACGGTTGAGGGAGGGGAATTGGGGAAATTCTAGAACCCCCACTGCACCCCTTCTCCAGTTGCCTCGCTTCCCCTGCAGGTCTCTGTGCAACGCATCTGGGAGAGGAGGATAGGCGCAGCAATGTTATCGTGCATGTGCGAGATGGAGCACCACACCTTCCACCTCCTCCGTCCGTCTGCATATATCTCTCTCACTCTTTCCCAATGGCTTTTGTTGAAGTCTCACGAGCGAAGCTGGGATCTGTTTTCGTCGCTTGTGCAGAGCCAATGGGCATCTCGGCGCAGGTCATCATCTGACGGGGTCTGTACGCCGTCCTGTTGCATTGGAAGCTTGAGTGGAGGATGATCCCTGCCGCCTGTTGGAGTTGTAGGGTTCGTTCTTCTCTTTTTTAGCTTCATGTATGCGGCCTGTTGTGGCTGCTGTCTGATCAGGCACCGGATGAAGATTACGTCGTATATCGAGTGATTCCCCCAAAGATACGTTACGCATTGCTCGTGCTGTGCGAGGGGAGAGGCAACGCAAGGACGATCAACACCGCGTGGTGTGTTCAGATTCGGGCCCGGGGAGGGAGGCCCGTAAGTGGATGGAGGGAAGGACGCCGATCCCCCGTGTTTTCACTCTCCTCCCGCGCCGTCCTAGGTTCGGCACTGTGAGCCGCGGGCCGGTCAGAGACATATTGGGATGTCATATCGGAGTGGTTACATTGGCGCGAGTGATTGGGCTGTTGAGCATGCCGTCCCTGCCGCGTTGTTTATCCGCCATGGTAATCCAGAGTTGCTTTTGCAGAGTGAGATTAAACACAGATTGCTCTCGGAGGGAGCTGGGCCGCGGAGAGGGGGAGGAGGTCAAGAGAGTCTAGACATAAAGTTGGGCCAAGGTTTGACACGACGTTGCGACGAACGCTCCCCTCTGCCCAGCATTCGAGTGCACACATCACGACAACGCGAAACTTCACCATGCGCCTCGTCCTACTCTCGACGCTCCTGGCGTCCGTCACCAGCGTGGCTGTCGCAAAACCCGAGAAGATCAGGGGCGTCAGCGACCCCGTCTACCACTTGTACCTCCAAGCATACCCGAAGGACAAGACGGTGCCCGTCCTGGGGCCCGAGGCCTCAGCCGAGTCTTTCAATATCGCGGGCTCCATCCAGAGCGCCAACTCGAGCTCGTACCTGAACATCGGAAGCGATACCACGTCGTACAAGAGCCTCAAGTTTAGCAACGCCTCCGAGACGGCGGCGTGGGGGCTCGAGGGCGACACCATCATTACGACACAGGGGAGCACCTGGGGCCGCCGTGAGTGAACCGTGTCCTTGTTATCGTTGGCTGCATCATTGATGAAGTCATTGTGCTGACCACGCGAGAGAAACAGAGCTGAATTTCTTGGTTTGCGAGCTTGAGCAGGGGTACTGGCAGGTGTACCTGCAGACTGGGAGTGACACGCCGAGCGGCAAGACCTGCAGCAATTATCAGACGATCCATCTTCCGTGCTTGTGTTAGGCAGATGCAACTTTGACCTGGGGGTGGTTGGTGGTGGGTTGGCTAGTTAGGTGGAGGATGAGCTATGTGGACGTTACATTTAGGTAGCAGCCAGATGATCGCCCTGTCAAGAGGCAGCCCGGGGCTGCTGAAGAAACATTCTGTGTGTGTATGTGCGCCTGCGTGCCTGCTTGTCTCTGTGCGACTCAAGGAAACATGGTTTTTGTGGTGCTTTGCATAGATGAACAGGGAAACCGTTGGCTGTCAGAGCAAGCGGCCCTCGGCGATCGGCCGGCGCGAGTTTATTAAAATCCCGATGAGAGGCTTGGGTTTAGAGGTTGTGCCACTCAATTTTGAGTTACTTGTCAGGTGATATGGGTGGGAGTTCAGGTGGCTGAGTAAGTTGTTGTTGGAGTAGGTGCTCTTAGATCAGCAAACAAGGACGAAAAGGGTTTGTTGCACAATGCAAGGTTACCATTTGCAGAGATACATGAGGTTTGACTGTGAATACTTGATAGGCTGGATGTAGGAAGCGGATGTAGGAAGCGCAGAAGAAGCAGAGGCAACAGATAGCGTTGGGCTCAGGTTGTATATCGGAGACTTGGCGGCGACTTCCGTGCATCAACATGATGCGTATGCTGTGTTCTGTTCGCATCTATGTCGGGAATAGGAAAACGCTCATCAGGGTAAGTCTCACTTGTGCTGTTGAGATTCAAGTTGCGGTCCCGGAAAGGAAGCAGTGGCACGCGAGGCCCTTGATTAATGAGCAGTCGGGGTGGTACTCGACCCTGTCGCGGAAACTCTGCACCAGGAATAATGTTGGAAGAAACGAGAGAGACCGGGAGACAGACTCTCACAATATTGGGCGGTGTCCGCGTGAGGCGACAGTTCCTCAGAACATGGGTCGTATGCCAGATTGTCAATCTGATAAACATGGCGTCCACTGCCAGCATCAAGAGCAGGCGCTTAAGGCGACAGGCCCATGAATGTAGACCGAAGATGCAAGGCGATGGCTGCGAAGACAGCATTTCTGGATTCCGAGATTCCCGTCAAACAGTCATTTAACCTTCAGCTTGATGGGTAGATGGAGACGTCAAAATGTCCAGGTGACTCGCAGGAGGTGCAGCGACTCGAAGTCTAAGAAGGGTTAGGTGATGTTGAGAAAGAGACAGACGAAGGAAGGGCCCCACGATTGGCTGTCACATGCAGAGTTCACGACGAGCAGCCAACAGCCGTTGGCCAAGGGCAGGGATGATATCAGAAGGGAGCGGAATGGCACAAGCAGAGTGGAGGCGCTCTCCATTGCCAGGAACCTTTAGCTGCAGGACGCTCTGCAACGCTGCAATAACCGCTGCAATATCTACCTAATTTCCAACAGGGCAAGGGGCCATTGATTCTGGACCGGCTGGGTTTTGGAGGATCCAGACCGGACCTGCGTCTGGCAATCGCAGAGGGCGGGCGATAGGGGCACGCGACCTGAATGATGTCCTTTTTACGCACCAACTTAAATATGCGCCTCTCCAAGCAAAAGGTACAATACAGGGTACTTTGTGTTGTAGTAAGCAAGCTTGGCGCCCTCTGGCTTGAGCCTACGTAGAATAGGATTGTTGCTGTTTGTCAAGGCAGAAGAGACAATAAAACCGTTGCTATTATACCTCTTTTCTTTGAGAGTGAGATGCCACAGAAAGAAACAGTGAATCAAAGACACCTGAGAAGTTGCAGCTTCACCACCAGCACCAACCAACCACCAGTCTTGTTGTGCGACAGGTACTTCCCAAGCCAACCAGAGGCTGGTTCTTGTGGTTCTGTGTCTGTCCCAGTGTCATTAACGCCACGTGAAGATAAGCTAACCTGGAGGCCTTCCTGAGCTTGCACGCACCGCACCTTCACAAGTGCCAGAAGTACCTACTTAGGCGAACGGGACCACCAGTAGGACCGGCCTTAGCCTTAACGATAAGCCCAAGCTCCAAACTCTGGGTCCCAAGAGCCCAGGCAGGTCTGCATCCGCTTGCGCTTCCTGCCACCTCGCCCAAAAATCTCCCGTCCCGGTTGAATTTAATCACCCAGGCTTCCAGACTGCGGCCCACCTTTGCGCTCCTTCTCCTCCGAGCGAACGCGAAAGCCCATGTTCCACAATCACGGCCTCACCTACAGCTTTCAGTCGCTGTAGAACCACCCCAACTCCGACTCTGCATCGCTGCTCCCTTGGCTGACGAATCGAGAGAGAGAGAGAGAGAGACGACCCCTTCCCTGCTTCGACTCTCATCTCGGCCTCGGTCCTCTCAACGTCTCGGTCTCTGCACCGCACCACCGGATTACCTCGAACGACCCCGAAAAGCACCGCCAGGCGCTTCTTCCCTCGCTCTCCCTCCGAACGAGCCCTCTTCCACATCGGTTCGCCAGCCAAAGTGGCCGGCCATTGCCAGAAACAACCTCCTCTCTCGGCGCGGCTCCAGCAAGCCAGCTCGTCGCGCCGATGTGGTGGTTTTTCCGCATCATCGCTAGTGCCATCTTCTTGCTGAGCATAGTCCTGTCAATACCCGTCGCCTTCGATGTAGGAGGCAGAGACAGCGGCCTGGCCTACAGCCTTGCCCTATGTGGCTTCTACTTCGTCTACTCCGCCATCGCCGTCGTCACCCCCGCCGAGTCGCGCGTCCGCTGGGCCATCAATGTCATACTCCGTTTGTCGCAATGGATTGTCATCCCCGGCCTCCTGATCTGGGCTCTCGGCCGCTTCGCTGTAGACGCCGGTGCGACCAACTGGGTGGAGAGGACGCTGCAGGGTATCACAAGCTCCAAGACAACGTCATGGGGCGAGTGGGTGTTTGGCGAGGGCGGCGTGATCGAGACCATTACCCTGGGCGGCTGGGATAAGACTCTGAGATACTCTAGCCCCGTCTTCCAGCTGTTGGAGGGCTTCTGCACTTTGCTTGTCATCCAGGCCGCGGGTCAGATTACAAAGTGGTTGGTCAACAGAGGAAGAAGCGATACTTGGGTTGTAAGTGGAAGCTCCGTTGGTCGAGTCAAGATGTCTAGATTGTCCCTGCGGGGACATGACATCGACGCTCAGAACCCCGTTCTCTTGTACGCTTGCTAACGTCATGCCAGATTATTCTGCTCGCTATCTCCGGCAGTGTTCTCGCCAGTGCCGTCTACTTCCTGTGGCGCGTCGCCCACTTCTCTTATATTGACAACTTTGATGCGATCAGCATCGGCGTCACCATGACCACGGCCTTCTTCCTGTGTGCCTATGGAATCGGCAGCGGGCGCGGAAACCCCATCGAGTCTTCGCTCCTCTTCGCATACGTCGTCCTCTGCGTCTACCAGATCTTCACCGACTACCTTCCGTCCGAAAACACAGAGGCAGAGCACAACCAGTCGTCGCAACCCGAATTCCCGCCGCTCCCTCCAATCATCATGGCGTCTTATTCAACTCTCTTGCACATGCTCGGCTCACTTCCCCACGCCGTTCACTCGTCGCTCAGTCTTCTTTACGCCGCTTTCCAAACCATCACCCCCTCCGTTATCATCTCTCTCGCTTTCCGTCTCCTTGTCTTCTACTGCGCCACCCGCATCATCCCCGCAGTCCGCGAATCCGGAGCCAGAGCTCTCATGGAGGAGCCTTCTCTTGAAGATACGGACGCGGCCAACTGGCTCATCGGCATCATCACTTACTTTTCCCCATCAATCCTCATCGCCATGTACACGAGTTTGCTGTTGCAACACTTCTCGACTAACGACGGGCCAGATGGATGGACGCTCAGAGGCGGGGACCCCGGCGGCAACGTGTGGCGCTGGACAAACGTGATCGCAACCATGAGTCTGTACGCCATTGAGCTTTACCTCGGCGAGGGAGACCACGACGGCGGTCTGACGAACCACTGGAAGCTGGACTGAGCGACGCAACGCTCCCTACCATCTTTCTGAAAGTCTTCCTGGGACATGGGCGAATCACCCTGAGCTCTCGGGGTCTAATGAGCGCAACCTACTCGAGTATGTAGGGGCAGGACACCAAAAAAAACCGATTGATCAACGTACATAGGGTCGTTATGATACAAGGGCTTTGGGCACGGAAAGGGGACAGGGACAGGCACAATACGGCGTTACGGGAGGAAGTCTGCATGCTCCAACGGCGACTTTTTTTGTTAACTATGGATTCTGCAGGGAGGGCTTTAACGGGACTTTTGACTTTGGCAGCCCGGGGGCATATTACTATTACTGCCTCAAGCTTTTCTATCTTGCAGTAGGAAACTCATTTAAATTCACCGCATTGGAAATAATGTTACGGTCTGGCATCGGGAGCGACGTTGGGCGTGGGCTGAGGTGTGGATGTAATGACAGAGGTTCTGATTTCGTTAAGCCCATTAGCTGAGAGCACAACTCTGATTTGCCGCTATGTATCCGTTCACTTTGATAATACGGGTATGCCTAAGCCAGTTCTTTGAATTCCAACTGCGATAGTCGGTCGTGGCTAATCTGTCGCGAAGAGCGCAAAGCAATGGGACAGCCTGAATAGTCGACGATCCATCTAGTCACCTTCTCGCCCTGTCTTTGTCTGGCAGAATGATCTGGACCACGTGCCGGGTGGGAAAGATATCGCCTGGAGCTATAGCTGCCCATCGATGAGAGACCCGGTCGTTCCTTCCCAACCATCACCGGCAGCCCTTTCCCTCGTAACCACAAAGAACCCCCCTCTGCTCTCGCCTCACCTACAAGGCACCCAAGCCCAAGCCCAAGCCCAAGGATACTTGGCCAACTTTCGTCTGGTCTGCTTTTAACAGTTCGACAGGGAAACCACCTAAGTGGCCCAGTCGGTAAAAGCGAAGCTTAACAAGTTCCTCTCTAGAGATGCAATCTGAGTCTGAGGGGGGCGCTCGTTCGAAACGCGCGAGGGCCTCGAATTAAAACGGTGATACGTTTTTTTTTTTGTTCTTTTTTTCAATATCATATCTATCCTTTTGTTCCTCATCGCTTCTTCAAAAGGCTCTCCCGGGACAACACTCCTTACTATGTAAGAAATTCCTCGATCTCGCCTGCGAATTATATAAAGTACAGTTTGGGTATATAATTATTTTTAGTATTAACTGTTCTATATATTTCCAACAGCAAGCCTACAATTGGTTACGCAAGTCGTATCTACACCGGAACGAAGCCCCCACGTTTTTGACACCGTGGTCTTCGTTTATATGCCATCTCAGATGTACGAAGGCAATTCCAATGATTATTCGTCACACTGGGACCACCACACTCTCAAGTGGTGGTCAACATATCATCTCGGAGGTTGGAACCAATATTGAACACACGACAGAAGCCAAAATTTGAGAGAAGATGATTTGAATTGTTCGTATCCTCAGAAGCGTGATGCTGCCGGAGTTCTATATGGGGACGAACTGTTCATGGAAGCAGCGGCGCCCGCACGGGAATAATGGGTCCCAGCTCCGCCGTCCGTCTCAACCCCGACCTCGGCAACAGCTCTCCACCCCACCTACAACTTCACTTACATCTCACAACCTCAACCCGCTCTCAATCAGTACAAATCCAAATCATTATCTCCTCACTCCATCTCCGACCTCACATACAGATAAACTCCGTTCATAGTATCATATCAACGTAAGACCCTTCAAACAAAAAATCAGAATAGAAAATGCCGGAGCAAAACCCGATGCAACCCACCGCGGGGTCGTCCTCCCCCACGGTCTCGAAGTCCACAATCCTCATGTCGGGCCTCCTCGTCGACGTCTACGGCCTCGAGGAGCTCGCACCGCTCCGCCCAACCGCCGTCTCCGTCCTCTGGCTCTACCACGGCCGCGGTCGCGCCAAGGAGGACATGGGCGCCTTCGCCTCGCGCATCGTCTCACAGCACAACGCCGCCGCCACCTTTTCTCCGGCAACGAAACGCGGCCTCATCGCTGTGGCGTTCGACCAGCGCAACCACGGCTCACGTCTCGTCTCGGACAAGGCCAACGAGTCCTGGCGCGGCGGCAACGAGAGGCACGCCGTGGACATGTACGCCATGGTCGCGGGCATGGTCAGCGACACGAGCGGGCTGATGGACGTCGTCGAGGGGTATCTCAAGAGCGAGCTCGGCGGCGGGGCCGGGGCCGGGGAGTGGAGGGTCGATCAGCACGTCGCGCTCGGGGTGAGTCTGGGCGGGCACAGCACGTGGCAGGCGCTGTTTGGGGAGGAGAGGATGGTGGGCGGGGTTGTGATCATCGGGTGTCCTGATTACATGGGTGAGTCTTCTTGCTTTTACTTAGTCTGAGGTACATGAGTGCTGACGATGGTGGGTGTGAAAAGCGTTGATGTCGGACCGCGCGCAGAGGTCCAAGCTGGCGACCTTCTCCGCTGAGGACGCCGGGGCCTCGTTCCTGGGCAGCAGGGACTTCCCACCGGACCTGGTCGCGGCGTGTCTGCGGCATGACCCGAAGGGCATCCTCTTCGGGACCGGGCCCGTGCCGACCTCCGCCGTCGCCGAGGCCGCTGAGCAGCAGCGCCTGCGGGGCCTGCTGGACGCCCGTGTGAGGGGGAAGAAGTTCCTCGTCTGCTCGGGCGGGGACGACAAGCTGGTGCCGTACTCCATGGCGAAGCCGTTTGTGGACTTCTTCCAGGAGGCGACGAGGACGTGGTACGCGGACGGGGGCGTCGTTTTTGAGAATATTGTGTACGAGGGCGTGGGGCACGCGTTCAGCGAGGGCATGATTGAGCACTCGTGTCGGTTTTTGCTGGATGTCGTCAATGGGGCAGCCGAGAAGGGGGCAGAGAGCAGGTCAAAGATTTGAAAAGGTGGTATTAATTGGGCTTCGAAATGGGTATGTATGTAATTATGCCCATGGCCTCTTGGCGTCCTCCGCTAGGGCCTCGTGGCCGTCTATCATCCTAGTCACGACACCGCTTCTGCTCCTCTCCTCCTCGCTCGCGAAGAGCCTGTCACGTAGATTCCACGGGTTGCGGGCGCGGCGTTTGCGCGACAGGCTGGGCCCGACGCCGTGCGGGTCTTTGGTCCACTCGTCCACGGCGTGCTGTACGCCTGCGACGGCCCCTTGCTTTTGGATAACACCACAATCACCCGAGGAGGTGGTGGCGAGCGCGGCTTGCATGCCCGGGGGGTCGATGCCCAGATACGCCACGCGGTCGAGGGGGAACCCGATGGCGGCGCAGTGGCCGTCGACGATCCGGGGCTTCTTGAATGCGTGGCTGACGACGGTGAGCTTGGCGGGCCAGGGGGCGGCGGGATAGGTGCGCCGGAAGAGGAGGAGGGAGTGGAGGATGTTGTGGTAGGAGTCGAGGGCCTGGGTATCGTTGTGGATGCGGGATGTGAAGTCGTCGTTGTCTGCAGGGAAGATGTCAAAGTAGGCGTTTGCGGAGGCGAGGTTGGCGTAGCTTTGGGATTCTGCGAGGGGCGTCTCTTTACGCGTTGGGCCTCTGGTTTGGGTGTTAGTCTCCAACGTTCAATGATCTCTTGACTGGTATGCGGCAATCGAGGACAAGAGAATGTGCACGAGACCAATGAGACGCTTTGCTACATAAACAATTTTGGTGCGGTTTCCTTCGCCAAGACGGAATGGGAGCCGGGGTAGCTTACCCGGAGAATATGAGCGCCGCGGCGGGATCATCCCGGAGCGCGGTGAGACCGGCCTTGATGTGCTCGATGAAGGTCGGCGTCTCGCCGGCTTGGAAATCGGCAATGAGCCACTCCGATTCGTCTCGGCCGTCGGTGGGGCCGCCGGTCCAGATGCCGTGGCAGCAGACGACGATGAGATGAGTTGGGGGGCTCATGGTTGATTTCGGGGATGAGCAAGGCGGGTTTGTTTGATGAGAATGAGTTGGCTTGCATTGATCGTACTGTGGGCGCGCTGGTGGATCATGTGATCGTGTGGCGGTGAGAGGCATGTTTCGCCCTCAGTGTCATGGGATGCGTGGTAGACCTGGGGTGATGCTCACGCCAAATACGCCCGGCTCATATATCTCAAAGCAGGATACAAGTGGAATTGGATATTTCAGAGATTTGTTTTAGATTGTGTTGATGCCTCAAGCTATCTCATCATAAGCTCCGTACGCATCTCCAACGAGATATAAACTGCCAGTGACTACAATAGGACCATTGTCCGCATTGTCGACAGCCCACTTCATCGCAGCGTCGAGGCTCTCGTCGCCCTGGTACAACTTCTTTGCACCAGCCTCGGATGCCATATCACGTAGGGTAGCTGGAGGCAGAGACTCAACCCAGGGCATCGTCTCCCGATGGGAAAATGGCACACAAGCAACACTGTCACCGGGCCTCAGCAGGGTTCGGAGCATACCACCAGCGTCCTTTCCGTCCTGCTTAGATACCGACACTATCCAAGTCACGGGCTTATCCGCAACTCGCAGACGCCGCTCGACATATGTGGAGAGCGTTTCCGCAGACTGCGGGTTGTGTGCACCATCGATAAGAACAGGCTTGCCCTTGCGTGCGGGATGCTTCTTGCTCACATCCAGCCACGATAATCGGCCCAGATGACTGACGTCCTTCAAGATCGGCAGGGCTTGCTCGGCTGAGAGTTTCAAGTCGGGGTACGCAAGCTGGAAAGCCGTAATGGCGCAAGCCATGTTCTGGGCTTGGTGGGGCATTAGCTCGGACCGGTAGAGCGTTTCCAGCAGACCGGTCTGGTTTGTGGTGAGGTGCAACGGCGCGGCCACGCTTTCGGCATGCCTCCGGAAAACCTCGAGGACCTCGGGTGGGTTGCTGCCGTCAACGACGCAGGGCACGCCGGACATCATGATGCCAGCCTTCTCCTTTGCGATCTCTGGCAATGTGTTGCCGAGAAAGGCCTGGTGGTCGAGGCCGATCTTTGTGATGACGGTAACCTTTTTGCGCTTGAGGACGTTGGTCGAGTCGAGTCGTCCGCCGAGGCCGACCTCGACGATACCCATTTGCACATCGGCGTGCGTGAAAACGCCAAAGGCGATGAGAGTCGTCACTTCAAAAATGGAAAGTTGCTCTTGAGAAGAATCCTGAGCCAGCCGCGCTTGCTCGTCGTCCAAAATCTTGTGTCTCACGTCGTTGTAGACATCCTGCTGTACGGGCGTACCATTGATCTTGATGGCGTCGCGGGGCTCAACCAGGTAGGGCGAGGTGAAGAGGCCATTTGTAATACCGAAGGATTTGCACAGAGCCGACAGATAGGTGCAAGTTGAGCCCTTTCCATTGGTACCGGCGACGTGGATGGCATCCCACTTCTGGGGTACGCCCTCGAGAGCTCGCGAGATGCGGTGGAGGCCGAGGCTGATGCCCTTCATGGCCATGTTGCAGTTCGCTGCTAGGTCAGGTCCTGGGGTTTGGGGAGCTTGGCGGGGATTTCGGTACTTTCAAACCGAAGCTTCAGGCGCGGGCCATGAGGGTACGAATAAATCGCCGATAGTATCTCGGATCTGGAGCCGAACGGACGGAAGCCAGCAGACAAGGGCGGTAGGTAGCCCGGCAACGGATCCAAATCCCTTAGAGTGGCTCCTCTGCCTGGGAGTGAGTCACTGGAGCTCACTGGTGATGGACGGGTCTTGGATTTTCAGGGTCCTGGAGTCGCATCCGGCGACCACCTACCTGGATGGATGCTGTGGACGATACCGTCCAGTCAGACCGACCCGAACTTTCCGCCATTGGGTCGAACCTACACGTGAATGCGGTGCGGGAAGCCCACGCGCGGAAAGCACGACGGGAACAGGCCGCCCAGCCCAGCGGCAGCAACACGCGCATGAGCGCTGGGCCAGGTGCCGGGCTGGCAGGTGTCTGTTGGTGCCGCTTACCGTAGCAGCCACAGAAAGAGCGATCGGTTGCGAGGCGCACGCGGCAGCTGCAGCCAGTCAACTGGGGCGACAAAACCCCCCAGCCACACCTGACCCAAGCTTTCCGCTCTCCACTATTCGCCGAGGGGTGGCCGTGATTGGGCAAAGATGACCTGCTTTCAAGAGTGGGCGCCACAGGGGCTGCTGCAGAACGGTGGCCAGCCACTCACAGAAAAGAAAGTAAAGCGGCTATTCCCCAAAGACGCTGGCCTTTCGCTTTTTCCCCCTTCCCCTTCCCTTTCGCCTCTCCAGTCCAGTCTCCTCTCACTCAAACCCGTCCCCGTCCCTGTCTCCATCCCCCATTCCGCCCGTCCGCCCCACGAAAACGAAGCCTTTTAGCACCGCTTCGCGCATCGCGAAACCATCGCGACCACGGCTCCATTTCCATCAACGACGACAGTCGCTCCATCCAATTCTGCGACTCGCCACCTACCATCCATTTCTGCCGCTCTTGGTCGTTGATATTGTTGCGCACCGTTGCTCAAGATGGGACTCCCGTAAGTCTTCCCACCCCTGCGCTGCCCGGTTGCGCTGCGTTGCCGTTGCGCCGCGCCTGGTCGGACGTTGGCTCAATTTCAGCCCGCCCATCAGTCGCGCCCACCGCATCAATCCAATCCAATGCCTTCGTTCAATCCCGTCTCGTCTCTTGTCATCAAATCACCAATACCGACCGCGTTTACTTGATCTCGAATTCCCGGCCACATGATGGACGACTCGATTCGTCGATGCCGAGACACTCTGCAATTCCCATCGCTGTACCCTGGGGTCTCATCCCACTCTGCCTTCACATCCCCCGCTAACCTTGCAACTTCCCCATCTGCAGACTCTTCGTTGCCCCTGTCGAGTCCGACCTGCCATCCAAGCTTGGTGATAAGTCGGCCTCTGCGCGCCAGCCTCGCTCTGTCATTCGCCGAAGCCGACGCAACGTCGATGCTCGCCCCTTCCGTCGCCGCGCCGCCTTGCTTCGCGACAACTTCCCCACTCCTGGCCCCGAGCCGGTTCCACGGCACCGGTACCCATGGATTGAGTCGGGTCACCCCCCTCCCCCCGAGGCCTACGCCGCACCACCCCCGCGAACCACCCCGCCCAGCGATGCGGATCGTTCGGCGCCGTCCGCGGAAAGTACCGAGTTACGCGAGGCTTTGCGCGAGGTGCGCAGTCGCGGCGACTCCAGAGAGGCCCAACTGATGTCGCTCGTTGGCGAGCGCTGGGCTCTGGAAAACGTGCCTCAGCCGCCTCGGAGAATATCCAGCCCTCCTTCTGCCGAAGAAGGTCGTTCCATATGGGAGGAGATTTCTCGCCAGTATAACAGCGCATTTGGCGAGCATGAGAGGCCATCGATGGATATCATCACAGATCCTGTCGAGAGGCGGAGACACCGCGCTCAGGTTGTCGCTCGCATGTCTATGGTCGGTCTGCTTGTCGAACATGACTGAATCGTTGTGCTGACATGCTGCAGCCTGCCCCTCCTGTCGCTGCTCGATTTGATAGAAGTCCGGAACACTCAACCTCAGCCAGAGCATCTGGCCGTTCTTTGCGTGAAGAGTCGCGCAGTGAATCGCAACCCTTCCGCTATGTCCGTCGTCGCTTCGGTCATTTGGGCGAAAACCCCACCGCAGACGGTCTTGGGGACCGAAACAGGAGCCTCAGCCCAGACGAAGATGGTGTGTGGGACACGCTTCTCACCACCTTAACCCCAGATCCTCAGCCTCCTAGTGCCGGATCGTCATTTGCTTCCGCATCGGCATCGGCATCTGCGTCTCAGTCACAGAGCGCCGGCGCATCATCTCGCACTTCTCTCACCGGACCTGAAATGGCCGAAGAGTCTCTGGAGCAACCCTGCGAGTCCGGAGTTGACGGTTCTGATAGCGAGGGACAGGAAGATCTTCACATGGGAAGGGGCTGGCCTGACCACTGGACGATGAACTATCCGTCGAGGCACCGGCGGTTTGTGGCCGATTTAGATGCCAATGACCCGAGCAGGATTTCATTCGTTCGGGCGGACCGGCCGTTCACTGACCGGGATGCAATCGAGATGCGGCATCGTCGACGCCTTGAACTTGCTCGACACTATCGCAACGCGACACGTGATCTGACCCCACCGACGGGTGCTCTGGATCGCATTGCGAGGGATTCGAGCGAGGAGTCTCGAGGAGCTGCCGCGGACGCCGATGGCGATTCGGCTCCAACGAGTCACAGTCACACGCCGAACGATAACGCTCTTCATGGAATGCAAATGATCATGCGGAACCTAGCCCGAAGGGAAGACATTCCTGATGAGTGGTGGGCGGGCGCTGGTCTCAGCAGGACTTTGCCCGAAGAATCTTAGAAAAGGGGGGCTATATTTGATCTTCATAATCAGTTTTCACGTCAAAAAAACAAAAGCGACAGGCGGGTCCAGCGGCTCTTGCGACGGGCTCTTTTTTATTTTCAGAATTGGTTGGAGTCTAAAGGGATATGGGCGCGAATGCGAAAATGATGGGGTCCCCGGCGCGATGCAACGGCATGGGCGGGCTGTATACTATGTGTATTTGTTCGGCGCGAAGAGGCGTCTTTGTCCAGTGGGAGTTCTCGCGATGGCGTACGGGTTCAAGAGAGCCTAGATTATGATGAGAGAATGAAGTGGTGAGGCAGCCGGAGGCTGTTCTCTAATTCAAAGTTGACCTACTCAATGTTGTGATTTTCGTAATAGGCATGTTGAGATCAAGCTGATTAATGGCGAACGAATCAGCTGAGTTCAGGAGACCGGTCAGAAATGAGTCTGAGGTGACATTTGTCGAGGTCCTGGTCAGCAACGATACTTCGTCTGACAGTCGATCCATACGATGATGTGGGCCACGTCCCATTTAATCAGGGCAGTGCAGAGGAATGTATTTTGAACCATTTTCTTTTGCATTTCTGGGTATCTGTCAATAAGCTGTCCATCCCATCGATCGAGGCAGCTGGTACAATATCACATCAGGCATATGCAACCCGTGCTGGCTGCTGTTTAGTCTGTACTGTGAGTAGTGCCTTGGTTCCTGAGCTTTCACGAGACGTTCACGTCGTTGGTTTAGGCTGATGCAGGTCGCCAGGCTGGCCACTCACATGTCACAATCTGGGGGTTAGCCTCCGTGTGTTTTTTTTTTCCTGCCGTGCTAAATGCTGATCACTTCTCTTGGGCGGCGCCCCTAGTGTCTACTCCCTTGTTCGAATCACTCGGTGACCTTGGGGAAGCACAAGGGCGACTCGAAGAGACGTAATGAGAGGGTCAATCGGTGGCCCGGCTTTGGACATGGGGATTGGATGGAGAACAGGGACTCGGGGAGGGGTGGGAAAGCTTGAGAGGAGAGGTAGGGGTAGGTGAACCGCTGTATTCGGCCGTTGGCAGGCAGGGGAGGGTTTGTTGACCTTTTTAGACGAGACACATTGTCACCACGCAACCTGAGTAACGGGCGGCCGATATAACCGCGCAGGGCCCTGTTGACTGTTGACTTTTTTGATGTGATATGTGATGCGATGTGATGAACCCACTCCAAACTTCTGAGCCAGGCTTCTCATGTGTCAATGGATGAGCAAGTCGATGGAATGTGCAGGACGGGCGCTCGGCCGAGTGTGACGTTTTTGGTGCGTCCGAGCTGGGGATGGTCGTCTTTAGAGAATGGAAGAAAGTCTGGGGAAGCCTCAGGCAGTCTGGAATGTGTGCGCGTCTAAGGCAGGGTACATTGACAGATGTATTCACTTTAGGTACGAAGTGCTCACGGCCAAAGGTGAGGTGAGAAGTTCCGCAATGACAAAAGTGACGATGGACCGGAAGGAGTCTGTTCTTTTGTTTCCAGTTCAGGTCGGATGGCTCTAGCGGGTGCGTCTAGAGCTTCTAGCGCGTGGTGGCCCTGGTGCTTAGCGCGTCTGCCCAGCGTTCGTTCACTAAAAGTAGGCACACCTCGAATGCCTGGCCACCACATGGTGCTGGGCTGGCCTCTCGACCGGGTGGCCCTGGAAGGATTTGGAGAGTGGAATGGAAATGGAAGTCACCCCGCTCGCCCCTCACGGCGGGCAGCGCAGGGCAGCTGAGCCCGTTCCCAAGGCCCCCAAGAAGGAAGCCCCAAGGCTGTCCACTTGGCGTGTTGGTGTGTTGGTAGGCCGGGGGCCCCTGTAGGCACAGTGGGTAGTGGGTGTGATAGCGACGGCGGCGGGTGCGAGAGGTGGCACAAGCGCCGCGAAGAGTGGTTCCCTCTCAGCAGCGCAGGGCACCTACGCATCATTGTCATTGCTGCTGCCCTTGCGACCTGACAGCGAAGGGCCTTGGTCCTTTGATCTTTTTGAAGCACCCCAATGCCGGTTCAGCCCAGTCAAATCTCTCTCGCTCGCTCTGTCTCTCAGGCGTCCCGTCCTCAGCCAGCAAAGTGTCTTTGATTTTTTTGTGTCCCCTTCCCTCGTCTCAGTCAGTCGAGTGGAAAGATTTCGTCTGTTCTCTGTTCTCGTCCTGGCCCCGGCACGGAACGTCTTCTAGATTTTATTTTCCTTTTCCTTTCATCGCAACTTTTTTTTTTCCCTTTCGTCTGACAGACAACCCCCCACCCATTCCGCTCGTTTACCGTTGGACGCTGGGGTGTGTTGTTGACCGATCGAGAGAACCCCTCCACCGCCGCACCGCCCACCGAACCGAACGACCGTCAACGACCACACAACGTGAAACGAGAAGAAACGACCAGAGAGATTGCCGAGCTTCTCCTTGCACCCTTGCCTGCAGAACCGAGGGAAGCCTTGAGGTTGGCTGGCTAACTACGACTTGTGGATTTCTGCCTGCGTGCGCCTGTTGTGTCGATATTTGGAGATTCTACGCCTGCTGCGCACTGCTTTCGCCTCGATATTCGACACGACCCGACCCGACCCGGCTTCTTTTTCGCCCTCCCCGCCGAACGCCTGTTGAAATCCTTTATGGACTGTACGAAGCTGCTGTGACGAGACCGACCGAACGAGAAACAATACAGAGGGAGCCGAATTGTCTTTGGGCTACACTGATTGGGATGCCGTCCTGCTGCTGGGCAATGTGTCGCGCGCCCTCACACCCACGCCGTAACCGCTACAGCTGAGAGATCACGACACAGCCTTCCCCCGCCGATTTTCGAGCCGAAAGTCCCACAACTTTCCGCGGAACTTCCTCCGCCCACCCCGGGCATCATACCGAGCCTTTGATCTCGATCCCGCGACATAGCCCCGGTCGTAGGCCAGGTCGCCTCGACGTCAGCCATGCCGAACCCCTCGCCACCCTCGTCGGGGTCCTCCTCCGTTGAACGGCAGTACCATGTGAACGGCAGGGCAGCCGTGGTGGCATCGCGCGAGAGGGGCCCAGGAACCCCGCGGAAGGAAAGATCTGGACCGAAAGAGAGCTCGGCGTTGCAGGACCCAGGATTGAAGGACTATGTGCGTACATCAGCCTGACGAGGCTCCAAGTGGGCTTGCGGACGAGCTTACACCGTGGGGCAATGCGGCTAACGAGAACCGACTGCAGCGTTTGGGAGAGTGTCTTGGAAAGGGAGCTTTCGGGTCCGTCTACAAAGCCTTCAATTGGGGGACGGGCGAGGCCGTCGCGGTCAAGCAGATCAAGCTTGCTGACCTGCCAAAGAGCGAGCTGCGCATGATTGAGGTATGGACAGCCACAGACTCTGTGTCTAAAAGTGATCTATGGACACTAACCTTGCCAGTCCGAAATCGATCTTTTGAAGAACTTGCACGTAGGTGTTTCTAACAGCTTCGTTGTGGGGCGTATAGACTGACTTTCGACTCAGCATGACAACATTGTCAAGTACATCGGCTTCGTCAAGTCGGCGGACTGCCTCAACATCATCCTTGAGTGAGTTTGACCCTCATCCTGCCCCGAACATGGCTGACATAGGATGCAGGTACTGCGAAAACGGCTCACTCCATTCGATCTGCAAGTCTTACGGCAAGTTCCCCGAGAATCTGGTCGGCGTTTACACGACACAAGTCTTGCAAGGACTACAGTACCTGCACGATCAGGGAGTCATCCATCGCGATATCAAAGGCGCCAACATTCTCACCACCAAGGACGGAAAGGTCAAGCTTGCAGACTTTGGAGTGTCGACGAGCACGCTTGCTGGTGGGCAAGACAAAGAGGCACAAGTCGTGGGAACGCCGTACTGGATGGCGCCTGAAATCATTCAGCTCTCTGGCGCCAGTCCTGCATCTGATATCTGGAGTGTGGGATGCACCGTCATCGAACTGCTGCAAGGCAGACCACCGTACCACAACCTGGCTGCCATGCCAGCACTGTTTGCAATCGTCAACGATGACCACCCGCCATTACCCGAGGGCATCTCTCCGGTTGGTGCCCCCTTTTCGAACAAAAGGGTTTGCCGTTGTAGCTGACATTTGGCAGGCCTCACGAGACTTTTTGATGCAATGCTTCCAGAAAGACCCAAACCTCAGAGTGACGGCCAAAAAGCTTCTGCGACACGCATGGATCATCGGGTGCCGAAGGAGCGACGCGCCCGTCTCCAAGGCGCCAGCTAATTTCAGCCAAGCCGTGGAGGAAGTCAAGCAGTGGAACAAGGCTCTCAAGTCGTCCGAGACCTCACTCAGGGCTTCCACCGGTTCCGACAGCGGGGTTCCCGGACTGCAAGGACATCCCGGGTCGAGATTCAGCGCCAACGAACCGCTCCGGCCGAACCTGATCACACAACCCAAAGGACCGTTGGCCCTTGCGAAACCGAGACGAACCCCTGAGGCATTCAGGTCTCCTGAGCTTGCAGGTGAGCATCACCGGCTGTTGGGGGCTGCCAATGAGGGGAAGCATGTTGACCTGCGACTAGACGATGACAACTGGGACAACGACTTCGCGACAGCCATCTCGCCAAGCGCGCTACACTTACCCCACCTGAAGCCGCAGGATAACTTTGGCGGGCTGCTGTCTGCTGATAAGCTCAAGGCGTTTGCTTCCATCACGGATCCACGGAACGATTCCGAGAGTTACGATGACGACTTCGAGGGCGAGCTTCTGACCATCAAGGGGCCGAGGTTCAACGACATTGACTACCAGGAGCAGACGATTCGCCCTACGCCCCGCAAAAAGAGCGACAAATATGCAGACCCGATGAAGCTTCAGTCTCCCCCCAAGTCTAGCCCTCGGAAGCATTCAAGAAATTCGTCTCGGCCCAAGTCTCCCAGCAAACAGCAGCTCGGCCCCAGCAAGTTTGAGATCCCCGCGCCGCCTGACCTGGCGTATCGTGAGCAAAATGTGGATGACTACTCTGATCTTTTCTTTGATAATGATACGGTTTTCAACGACAACAAGTTGAATCCATTTGTAAAAAAGGTGTGTTGTATTTGGAACTGTTGATACGAGCCGAGTTAACGCGCAACAGCAAGTTGATTCGCCTCAACTGTTTCACCCGTCAGACCTCACAAGTCTGCCTCGCTCGACACAGTCGCCACTGCCAGGGAGCTCAAGACGGCCAACTGGCCAGAAGCTGCGTCCATCCGTGCTACCAGATCGGCCCATGCGAAGAACCCGTTCTTCAATTGAGATTCAAAAGTTCGCCGAGGACGAGGGCGACGAAGACTTTTCTGACATTTTCGGTCCCGAGGATGCGGTCACCGAGCGGGAAGAAAGCGATAGAGGTTCAGAAGACGGTGGCCTCATGTTGTTGTCGAAGCTGTCGAACAACTCCTGGTTGGGAGATGAGGAAGACGAAGACGACCCATTTGCCTCCATGGACCCCGGTTGGGATGAAATGGACCTTAAAGCGAACATTGCGAGGGACCGGCACGCGAGACTTGCCGAGAAGGTGGAGGAGCTTGTACGATCACTCAAGACGTCTGAGGGCGAGGAGCGGCTGAGCGATCTCTCTGAAGACCTGGTATGGCTGGCTCGTTATCGTTCACTGGAGGCTAAATGCTAATCTTGGCTGCAGTTCGCATTATTATGGGAGAACGGGGACGTCAAGGACCTGATTCTCAGCGCGCATGGCTTGTTGCCAATCCTCGAGATTCTCGAGCCTTGCACGGTCAAGAGCAGACAACAGATGATTCTGGCGCTCTTGAAAGTCGTCAACACTGTGAGTTTTCTGCAGAGGGCGTGATGTTCAGGATTTCTAACACTAGTTCAGATCATTTTGGACGACGTTGAGATTCAGGAGAATCTATGTTTCGTCGGTGGCATCCCCATCATCACCAAATTCTCGGCGAGGCAGTACTCCAACGAGATCAGACTGGAAGCAGCTGCGTTTGTTCGTCAGATGTACCAGACATCAACCCTTACCCTACAGATGTTCGTCAGTGCCGGAGGTCTCAATGTTCTCGTTGAGTTCCTGGATGAAGACTTTGATGATGCACGGGATCTGGTGCTGATTGGCGTCAACGGCATCTGGAACGTCTTCGAACTCCAGGGGCCAACACCAAAGAACGACTTTTGCAGAATCTTTTCCAGAAGCAAGATCCTTTATCCCCTTGCTCTGGTGCTCCACAGGGTTCTCGATGAGGAGGGAGAAGATGAGCTCTCGGAACTCATCGAGGGCCGCATCGTCAACATTTTCTACCTCTTCTCCCAGGCCGAGAACTATGTCAAGGAGGTCGTAGCCGATCGCCAGGTGCTGAAGAGCGTACTGAAAGACTTGCGACGAATGACACCAAACCACCAAATTACGATGCTCAAGTTCATCAAGAACCTGTCGATGCTTTCCACGACGATAGAAACGCTACACACAGCGGATGCCATCGACTTCCTGATTGACGTTCTCAGCTACAGCATGAAGAAGGGGCATAGCCACTTCCGAGAGATCTGCAATCAGGTCTTGAATACTCTCTTTAACCTTTGTCGCCTTAGCAAGGAACGGCAAGAAGATGCTGCCGTTGGCGGTATCATTCCCCTGCTGATGAAGATTATGCAGACTGATCGTCCGCCAAAGGAGTTTGCCCTCCCTATTCTTTGCGACATGGCCCATTCAGGAATCAAGGGTCGCAGGTACCTGTGGCAAAACAAGGGCTTGGACTTTTACGTGTCTCTCTTGGCAGACCAGTACTGGCAGGTAACAGCTTTGGACGCCATTTTCATTTGGCTCCAGGAGGAGACTGCCAAGGTCGAAAGTCACCTTCTCGACGGGAAGTTCACGGACGCAATCGTCGCCTGCTTCCACACAAACAAGCTCAACTCATTTGACGCCAACCTTTTGGAACCCCTTTTGAAGCTTTTGCGGTTGAGCCCGTCCATCGCTGGCTCTCTCGCGAAGCCAGAAATGTTTGCTGGTATCGGTCAGAGATTAGGGCACAAGAAGGCGGTTGTCCGACTCAACCTGCTCCGTCTCGTCCGCAATGTAATGGACGCATGCGACTCAGAAATGCTCGGCATGGGCAACGGCAGCAGCTCTCTGAACATCAAGCAGGTACGATCTCTGTTCGATGCCATCCAGACTCTGGCAGAGAAGGATTCTGCTGTGCTGGTGCGCAACCTTGCGTCAGAGTTGGTCAAGTCGCACAACGACAGCGAACTGTACGATATGCCATCCGAAAGAAAGGGCTCATCAGGCTCTGTGGCTTCTCGGCGCTCCGGGTCCGGGCCCAGGAGGAAGTCTTCGTATACACCCCCAGGACTGCACTCAGCTATGTCGATGCCGGCGACGCCCACGCAGTCTCATTCACGCCACCCCCGACTATCACAAATGCCTTCTGGGGGACCGTTCATTGAAGTGGCGGCCAGCCCACGACGGACCGCGGTCCAGGAGCGGGAAGCTATTCTCTACCGACCGCGGAGCAGAGACGGCATCACGGGCATCCCTAGGAGGGTCAGCGGCGATGTATCGGCTGGCATGCCCATACCTAACGGATCATCCGGGGGGAAGAGCAGGTTACCGCGCCACTCATTTGCACGGCCGACCAGCTCAAGCTCGTCGGGGCAGCCCCCACTGATACGATCAGAGAGCTCAATGTCGAACAAGGAGAACTTTAGTAGAAATCCGTCAGCGGTGTCCGCGCCGGCTGCTTCGCCTGCTCCATCGGCGAGCGCGAGCGGGAAGAGACGTAGTAGGGCTCCCAGTTCCGACGTCAAGTGGCCATAGACCACCACCACCATGTACACATAAACACACACACAAAAGCCTGCTAGGCTCGCGATTTTTCTCTTTGTATTTTTTGTTCTGCATTTGCGAGGGTCCAGAAGCGTAACCCCCTCGCAAGGTTGGGAAACAGTGTTTCGAGAGCAAAACTCCATTGGCATAGAGCATTCATTCCCCTCTTATATCATCATTGATTTTTTGTTGGTGGGGGAAGGAAAGTAGGGGTTGGGCAAACCAAACGACGGTCTTGTGGGTAAAATCCTGAGGATGAAGACAGGAATGTTGTCTTTTCATGTTGAACGCTTTTTTGACGTGACGAGGCCCAATTGTTTGCCATGATTATGTTGTTGCTTGGGGGAAGCATTGAAAGAAGCTTGCCTCAGGAGAGGGGTACAAACCGGTCTTGTCATGCTTTTTTTTCACGAGGGGCGCGTAGACGCAAGTTATATAGCAAGCAATTGCATGTTTGGGCGGCTTTTCTAAGTTGCTCTGGTTCTGCGCCTCTACATGTTTCTTGGATGGGTGCTGGTAGTGTTGTTGTTCTTGACTGGCGAGGTATTTGGAAGGAATACACTGGGGGGTTGTGTGCCGATGTCGTGGAGGTGAATGGAGCATGCTTGTCTATGTATATCGCCTGCTATATGTGCTTCAGATTCGGTCCCGGAGGATGAGAATAAGAAAACCGACGAAGGAATCATTGTTGCTGCTCCTTTCTCTAGAGACCGGTGGTCACCGCATTTATACCCATTTTTAAATTTCACAGGCTGGGTATCGATTCGCTCATGCAGGTTGAACTGCTGTCAGTATGTGGCTGTACACTGTCGTGGAGTGTGGATCTCGACCAAGCTATCTCCCTCCTCCCGTCTCCTGTAATCTAGAGTCTCCTGCGGTTTGCTGCGAAGCTTGAGCCATGTTAGTTGGGTATAAATAGGGCACGACATCCAGTAAGATTATGCATGATACCCGCAATGTACGCTTGGCAAAGGCGGCAGTTTTCCTGCAAAACGAGCCTGGGCAAGCGTCAGATACTGTGGTAAAGTTATCTTTTACTTCCATCGCAACTTTCTGTTTTAATTAACAAAGACTTTCTTATATGACGGGATACCTGCCGAAGAACGGCAACGATGGACACCATGGCAGCATGTAAGACGTACCATTCTCTAATATTCATGAATGTGTTAATGTCCAACTGAGAAAAGGGCTAGAGGTGAGTCAAAAGAGCTTTCCCGACTTCCATGAAGCTGTCCGGATGCTTGTCAACAACAATGGTATCGTCCGTCATTCTGACCAGGTGATTTAGCACTTATTGAAGATTATTCTCATCTGATACCACTCCAGCAGGACGATTTTATGCATATCATGACCCAAGACCTAGTGGGGCCCCGTGATTTGCGAGACAGAGAACTGCTGGAAAAGATCGAATGCCGAGGAAGTACTACTACTGTTGGATTAATGCTGTGACGAGAGACTTTTGCAACGTTCACAAACAGTTTTATAGAGGTGTTTGTCATATAACACTGCACAGATTGATAAAGACCACCTAGGTTCTATGACTTGCGATTGATGCTGTCCTCTGGGATGGGCCGCGGATGAGGATGTGACCATCAATCCGTAAATCCGCCCGTGTATAAAAGGAGCTGATATAAAAGAAGCTGACCAAGGCCAGCTAGAGAACTTGTCTTTTAAGAACAATAGACGGGTACCAGACTGACTGACTTACTTAATGAAGTTAAACAGCTAATGTCTGAAAGGCTTTGGGTGGGAGAGAGCATAGCTGGCGCGTACGTCTGACACGGTGACTATGTAGATGCTGCGTATTGTGTTACGTATACTCGTACGATAATACCGAAGGACAAATTTTAATAACAATTTCCGATACGGGCGTAGAAATCCGATTGCTATTCATAAATGTGGTTGTGTTTGGGGTTGTGAGTGTCTAATACCCCTACGCCAACTGGACTCTGCCTATTTACGCGCGCACACCTACCCCCGTATTGTGTTGTTACTTCTCTCACGGTCGGTCTGGGATACTTGTAAGTTTCTATTTACTTCCTGTTCGCATATTCTTCTCCACTTCATGGATGGATCAAGGATGTCTTGACTACGCGGTAGTGAAGAGACTCGATCGGCACTGAAAAGGTCACTAAAAACCATATGTTGTGCATACCAACGTCAACGATTAGCTGTGCTGTGGCTTCGTGGACCAATGCTTATATATTCCAGTCAAGTATGGAGGGAGAAGTTTGTTCACCCAATGATCGTAGTGCGAGAACCGGGATCTTGAACACGCGAGAAAGTATCTTATTGCGGTCTTGTTTTCTCTCACATCAGCCGAATGCATGGCTACCAGCGGACGAGCTAGATAGAGGTTGTGGAATCAGCATGTTACATAGACGCTGTGCTGATAATCAGGGGATGAAGGCGACAAGGGATGAAGGCGATGGTACCAGAGCGTAACGTAGCATTCCATGACGGCAACAGTCGGCTTCTCGTTGCGGCTAGGATATCACTTATACACGAGACGAGTACGATTTTGGTTGGCAGCCTACCTAACCTGCGCTCCATTCCGCTCTATGGAATCACGGAAGGCAACTTTAGGCTATACTCTTAGTTTTAAATAGGGAGTGATGTCCGTCAAACACAGTTTCCAGCAGCCGCAATAGGGGTAGGCTATCGTTCGTAGGTGGTTGGGCTTAACAGCAGCCATCATTTTGAGACTCGAGCCCAGACTGGTACTTGGGCTGGTGTGAGGGGTTTATTTCGAATACCGTCGTTCATCTTCATCGTCTTCTTGGGAGCAACCGCAGATAATAGTCAAGGATAGGTTTCGCTTTTCTACTTACGATTCACGGTCGCCTTAGGAACAGAGTAGAGGCTCAGATTCATGAAGATCCTGGAATATCCTTGGGGCACCTAGTTGAGCGTTCCTCCACGCTGAGGTCATCATCTGGTTTGGCTTACAGAATCAGTGCCAGGTTTTGAGCGAGGCCATCTTCACGTAGTCTTGCATGGACTTGGCTTTTGGAGTTGTGTCAGCGCCTAGAAAGATGTCCTCAGGGGGGGCGGTAAGCTCTCACACTTTGTCAAGATGTGTATAAACACCTCAGCTTTCCGTCATCGTCTTCCGCAACTACAAAAGCCACACCTGGAGCAAGAATTCCAGCTTAAAACCCACAGATTTCGATGCGCTTGGATTTCAGTAAATAATTCGGTTCCCAGGACTAGAAGACATACCAAATAGAGTATAAGCCCCAACAGTTAATGGCCTGCAATTAAGTCGTAGAACCGCTGTCGTCGTATTATTCAAGCAGAATAATTCAGAGACAAGAGGGATGGTGAAATCCGTTCACGAAGCATCGCTCCCTTTGGTAACTTTCAAACAAAGAAAAGATGCTAGAGCGATGCAAGCTGCTCGCTGCTAGAATAACGGACACGTTTCATAACTATTCTGCTGTGACAAGATCTCTGAACCCGAAAATTTGGCTGAAGCTTTTATGTCCGGGTTGCCAAGGGATAGTTCCGAATAGCAATTTCATCGAGTGGACTTCGTCGCAACTCGAAGGGATTGAGGCATTGTGGAGAAGGAAATCCGTGGTTGATTTCACAGGAGACCGCTGAGTGTGTAATGGAAATAGAAGCCTGGTGCCATGAACATGGTCGATTGATTACATTGCAGGCATCACATACTGCTTCATGATAAGTGGTACTTGGTACTTTGAAAGCATTGGGCCCTTTAAATGATGAATTAATGACTACTCTTCCGTGAAAGAGGCATCAAACGCCGCGTCTTACATAATCCCAGAGTTCCTTCGTTGAACCATCATGGCCCAGTGGGTGGAAGTCGTCATATCGGTGTATCGTGAAACTTGCAACGGTCGTTGCCATTCATTGTCCATAGGTAGGTAGTCTTGGTGTTGTTGTGTGGGTCGGGCAGCACTGACCAATCAGAGTGCGCATTTTGTCAGCTAGTCCGCCAGCCCGAGCCGGGGGGCGAGGGTCCTTGACATATCCCAAAGTCCAAGCAGTCATCAATTGGTACTATGGGCGCGGCAAAACCTTGAACTGTAGCAGGGTGTTCCAATTGACAGACGAAAAATAAACCCCCGAGGTCTATACATAAGGTACACGAACCGCCCGGCCTGTCTCTATATCCTCCTCGGGTCTAAAAATCGCCGCATATTTTTTTTTCGGCCCATCGCGCACCCGGCCGGGCGGTTCCCTCCCTAATACTACACATCAGGCGTGCGCGCTCTCCATTTCCGTTTCCTCTCTCCGGCAGCCGGTTTAGTGGTGCTTCTTCTGGACCTCCATGGTCTCGAAGGCCAGCTTCTCAGCCTCCTCGGCCTGGATCTGCTGGATGAGGGGGCTCAGGTAGGGAACGTCCTGTAGTGATCCATGTGTTAGTCCTTCCAAGGTCCGTAATCGTTCAATTCGGGTCGGGAAGGCGCCGGTTTACCTCGGTGGGCTTGGTCCACTCGTTCTTGGGCAGGAGCTTGTGCTGGTAGGAGAGCTGGACGGCGCGGCGGAGACGGAAGACGCGGTCGTAGGACTCCTTGGGGGAGAGGCGCTTGAGGGCCTTCTGGACGATATCGGTCTCCTCCTCGATGAGGTCGTCGAACCTGCAAGTCGTCTG